CAGGGCCTCAGGCATGCAAGGTAAGCGCTCTACCACTGAGCCACCTTCCCAGCCCCAAGTCTGTAAGATTCTTATCTCCACTTAAACAGCAAAATGCCACACGTGAAGGTGTGGTTCAAATGGTAGAGTGCCAGCTTTGAGTGATAAAAGCCAAGGAACAGAGCTGAGTAGCATGGAAACACAGCTCCTTTACTCTGGACTGGAGTGTTTAGTAACCTCTCTTTATTAAGCTTTATGGTTGACAGACTCCCTCTCCTCTCTATATCATCCATGTTTACATTCACAACAAGCTGTGAGTTTCTTTTGGGGGGGGGGCGAGGGGTCTGGTCATGGGGCCTGAACTCTGGGCCTGGGCGCTGTCCCTCAGCTCTTCAGCTCAAGGCTAGCGCTCTACCACTTTTAAGCCACAGCGCCACTTCCGGCTTTTTTCTTTTTGCTTATGTGGTGCTGAGGAATCGAACCCAGGGCCTCTGGCATGCAAGGCAAGCTCTCTACCATTGAGCCACCTTCCCAGCCCTAAGCTGTGAGTTTCTGTTGTACCCATTTGCCAGATAGGAAAGCAAGGCTTAGAGCTATCCCAGGGATGATGTGTAAGCAGAGGAGCTTTGTAAGCAGTGTCCTCTCTTCAGTTATGTGCCTTGAAAGGGTCAGAGGAGGCCATGCTGTAGTGTGTATTTAATGTGTTGCTGTTGTCTACATTATTGATCGCAAAGTAAACTGACATAAGCACCTGTCTATCCCCTATGCCAGCCCTCCTACTGGTGCGGGAGCCCAAGAACAGTGGTTGGAAAAGAGGAAGAAGACAGTGACCCTGAGAAAGCTCTCAGAACGGAGTACTTTGAAGCAGAGCCAGAAGACCTGGTAGCCGGGCTCAAGATCAAGCATCTGTCCAAGGTGCCACTTCCCTGTAAAGACAGGGCCGAGGTCTTTAGGGGAAGCTACTCCAATGCAGGTGCTGTGTCTGGGCCTTACTCCCTTCCTCTGTCCAGGGCCCCTCACCTGCTCCTGACCTGTCCTCCAGGGCATAGACCACCATTCTGTGTCTGACCAAGTGCAGGTGATGGCTCCAGATTCAATGGCATCAGCTACAGTGCCTCCTGGGCTGGGCCTCTTGCCAGCTTTTCAGCATATGCTTACTCCACTCTACCAGATACCTTGGCCTCTTCATGATGCAGACATCCAGAGGGCCGTGGGCCATGTTAGGAGCAGGGCCTGCCCCAGACTTCAGTCCTCTGTGTGCCGATTGGCACCTGGCTTGGTAACCTGAGGCCCTGGGGCTGTACTGCAGAGGGACAGGAAGTCCCTTGTGGCTGTGGAAAGTTCACAGTGGCCCTCTGCCTGGCCTGCAGGTGTTCCGAGTGGGAAATAAGGACAAGGCAGTTGTCAGAGACCTGAACTTGAACCTGTACGAGGGCCAGATCACTGTCCTGCTGGGTCACAATGGTGCAGGGAAGACTACCACCCTTTCTGTCCTCACAGGTGAGCCTCTGCCGGCAGGCCCTCCCCCAACACCGCTCCACTAAATCCCAGCCTCGAAGTCCCAGCTGTGAGGAGTGAGGTGTTCTTACACTCAGGGCCCAGAGGAACACATGCCGGCCCCCCTCTCAGCCCTGCTCATGAATGCCTGAGCCCAGTGGGATCAGCAAAGGCGAGCAAGGCTAATCCTTGAACACCGAGGAGTGGGCTCACCCGTTCTGCCCCACACTCGACTCCAAGGCTGTTCCTTACCTTCCCCCAGTGCTGAGTCACCCGTGGTAGCAGAGGCCCAGATCTGACATGCGGGTTTGTGAAAGCACCTCTGCATGCTTGTGCACACAGATGTGTGAGGGCACAGTTCTTGTTCCTGCCTAGCTTGTATGGCCATCCCTCTTCTGTCCCTCTCCCTCCTCTGTCTCCCACTGCCTAGCTAGACAGAGCCTTCTGCGGTGGGGAGTGGGGGTTCCCGGCACTCTCGTGGGCAAGATGCTTGGTCAAGCAGAGGGAAGCAGTGACTAAGGAGGAGGTCATGACACCTCATGCAGACAAGCTGGATTCTCACACTGAATTTGGGAGTCTTTTGCTCGGCCCCAGGTCTCTATCCTCCTACCAGTGGGCGTGTGTACATCAGTGGATATGAAATCTCCCAAGACATGGCTCTGATCCGGAAGAGCTTGGGCCTGTGCCCCCAGCATGATGTCCTGTTTGACAACCTGACAGTAGCAGAACATCTCTACTTCTATGCGCAGGTAGGCGGGGGGTGGGAGGACGGGGGGGGGGGGGGGGTCGGTAATCCACCGCTGATGCATTTGGGTTTCTGAGTTCACCAAAAGACACGATTGGCCTGAAGAGCCATGGCATAAAAGCTGGGATTTCGGTAAAGGAGGTGATGTGCAGAGCCAACATCACCGGGGGAAGATGTCTCAGAGTTCTAGGGAACTCTGGGCAGCTGGGATCCCATGAGCAGCAGCCTCATCTTCCCACCCCATCCTCCACCATTGCAGCTGAAAGGCCTGTCACCCCAAAAGTGTCCTGAAGAAGTAAAGCACATGCTGTACGCCCTCAATATGGAGGACAAGCGGAATTCGCCATGCAAGTACCTGAGTGGAGGGATGAAGCGCAAGCTCTCCATCGGCATTGCCCTCATAGCGGGTTCCAAGGTACGGGGCAGCTGCACCCCACCTCCTGACGAGGCCAGCCCAGGTTCCCCACACACAGTGAACACATAGCTGGGCACTAGAACTCAAGGTAGCTTAGCCGGTCCCCAGCACAGCCAGCCCCGGTCTGGAAAGCGGCTCTGCCATTGCCACAACTTTGCCTCTGCCATCCAGTTGTTGATTCTGGACGAGCCCACCTCGGGCATGGACGCCATCTCCAGGAGGGCCATCTGGGACCTTCTTCAGCAGCAGAAGAGTGACCGCACCATCCTGCTGACCACACACTTCATGGACGAGGCTGACCTGCTGGGGGACCGCATCGCCATCATGGCGGATGGGGAGCTGCAGTGCTGTGGGTCGTCTCTGTTCCTCAAGCAGAAATATGGTGAGTGGTGGGCAGCAGGTGGGCAGATGGACCTCCGTCTTGTGACAGGGCCAGCACCGCTGCCTGCTGTGCTGAGGGTCACTGCCCACTGTTAGCCTTTGTGAAGGGCCCTGACAGGGGTGGGAGGTGACCTCCTCTGGACTTCCCGTCTACCCACCCCATGTGGGAATGAGGGAGGGTGGTGGGACAGAACATTGTGAGTGGCCGGGCTCCTGTTCTGCCTTCAAGAGCTGGTGGCTCTTGTCAAAACCACTTGTGCTCACCAGCATTTTGACTCCCAACAGAAGTGTTGCATATGGTTAGAGGCATGTCTCAAGTGGTAGAGCACCAGTTGTACAAGCAAAAGCATGGTATAAACCCAACACAGTAACTCAAGCCTATAATTCCAGCTACTTGGGAGATGGAGATGGGGATTGAAGGTCAAGGCGGTCTTGTTGGTCCCTGGCTGGTGGCTGCACCCCTGGCTTCAAGCAGGCTTTCCTGATAGGCTTCCCCCACAGTTTACCCAGTAAAACATGGGGGACTCTAGAACAGCATGAAGGAGCGCTGAGATGTCCCTGTGCTGGCTCTCCAGCCCCTTTTCCATTGAGGGAAAGCCAGAGGATCTCACTCTTGGCCCTTGTGTTCCAGGTGCTGGCTACCATATGACCCTAGTGAAAGAACCACACTGTAATCCTGAAGCCATCTCCCAGCTGGTGCACCGCCATGTCCCCAACGCCACACTGGAGAGCCATGCTGGGGCTGAGCTGTCCTTTATTCTTCCTAAGGAGAGCACACACAGGTATGTGCCCCGCAGGACACACAGGTGCAGGTGTGGGAAGGCTAGGTATGAGTTGGTTAGGAGGCCTCCTTGCTCAGTTAACCCGTACCTCCGCCGGCTCAGCCATTGAGCACCACTCAGCCCCTAGGAACAATGCTTGGCTGGTGCAGGGTGCCACGCCGTCCAGGTGGGGCTGGGAAGGGGATCTATGCCTGCCTGCCATCCATACCTAGTGTGCAGTTTCCTCCTAACGCAGCGGCAGCTGCTGCGTTCAGAATTACTTGTGGAACTGATAACTAGCATTCACAGACAAATTGTGGATGTGCACAACAGACACCATCTCAGGATGATTCCCAACGGTGAGGCAGTTAGTACTCAGTTTCCTTCTGAATGGATGTTTAGCTTCCTCTCCTTGTTTGCAGGACACAGCAGTGTAGCTGCTCTGCGTAATGTATACATTGTACTGAATTCTATTGAATGGTGGCCGTTCTCTGCTTCTTGCAGCAGGGGGCAGGAGGAGTCCACACACCTTTAGGGTCACTCGATCCCATTATCTTTATGTCTTTTGCTCATTTATGCACCACTTTCATATATTCATATTAACCATTTTTGTTGCAGTTTTCTCCTATTTTGTTGTGTTTGATTTTTGTGGGTTTTTTTTCCATATGGATCTCACATTTAAAAGTGCCATATCTTTGCTACTGTAATTTCTTCTATTACTTTTCTTCTCAGAAAGTATTTCCCTGCCCTGTGACAAAATGAATTTTTACCAATTCCTTTCCATTCTGTGATTTTATGTGTCCAAGCCTAAGTACACATAGTTTAAAAAAAAAGGAAATCTTTCTTCCCCTTGGTGTTGCTGCAAACCTAATTGTGTGTGTGTGTGTATCCTAAAAACAAGAGTGACTGCCTAGCAAGCATGAAATCTTGAGTTCAAACCCAGTTCTGACAAACAAGACAAACAGCAAAGCTGGGTGCTGATAGCTCATGCCTGGGATCCTAGCTACTCAGGAGGTTGAGATCAAAGCATCAGGCAGTAAAGTCATTGAGACTCTTATCTCCAATAAACTACTCAAAAAAAAAAGCCAGAAGTGGTGCTGTGGCTCAGTGGTAGAGTGCTGGCCTTGATAACAAAGAAGCTCAGGGACAGCTCCCAGGCCCAGAGTTCAAGCCCCAGGACTGGCAAAACAAAGTAACAACAACAACAAAAATAACACCAGGCCGGGTGCTGGTGGCTCACGCCTGTAATCCTAGCTACTCAGGAGGCTGAGATCT